TTCATAATCTGCAGGTTCACACACATAAATATTGCATCTTTCATAAATTTCGGATAGCAATCTGGTACCTCTTACTAGATCATCATCTAGTAATTCATTTTTCCAACTTTCATCTTCATTTTGTCTTGTGTTTGAGGTTGAAGATTTGAACTTCACATCTGTAGAAATCAGATTTGTCTTCCTTTTATCATCTCAATTCCATTCTTCATCTTCCAAAAAGTGAACATCCCTGCTAATAACTACTTTTCTGGTTTGCGGCTGAAAGATTTTATAGGCTTTGCTGACTGTACTATAGCATATAAAGATACCCATTAATGCTCTTTTATCCAACTTATCTTGGTTGCTCTGTGGAACATGAGTAAAGCACAAACAACCAAATATTTTAAGAAATTTCATAGATGGTCTGTAACCATGCCAAACATCAAATAGTGTTTGATTGTTCAATGCTTTAGTGGGGAGTCTATTCTGAAGCAAAACAGTTGTACTTGCTGCCTTTGTCCAAAATTATTTTGGTAAATTCTTTTCATACAAAATGCATATAATAATCTCCAAGATGTATCAGTTTCTCCTCTCACTAACCCTATTTTGTTGTGGGGTATAGGGAGTAGTTAGTTGATGTTTAATGCCAGAATCCTCATAAAATTGATTGAATCTTTCAGATGTGTACTCAGTGCCATTGTCTGACCTTAAAATCTGAATTTTGAAACCAGTTTCGTTTTCAACCTTGGCTTTGAACTTCCAAAAAATTCCAGCCACCTCTGATTTGTTCTTGAAGAAAAAGATCCAACACATTCTGGTAAAGTCATTAATGATGAGAACATAATAAAGATTACCTTTCAATGAAGGTGTTCTTTGAGGTCCTGCAACATCTGTGTGAATTAATTGCAGCTTCCTTGATGCTCTCCATGTTGTCTTCAAAAAAGGTTTTCTCTTTAGCTTTCCAAATTGACAGTCTTTGTAGTTTGAAGTTTGATCCTCAAGCACCGGAATATCAAGTGCTAGCTCTTTTCCACTCATTTGCAATAGTCCTTTATGATGATAATGCCTGAGTCTCTTGTGCCAGATGTCTGCGACACTTCAAAGAAAAAGCAACCTACTCCTCCTCCAATGGATTTAGAGCTTCCTTTCATTTTTACCTTAAACATATCTTGACCAGCTAAATATTTAATCAAGCAATATTTATCTTCAAAAGTAACTTTAAATCCTTTTTCAATCAGTTGACCAACACTTAATAAGTTCTAGTCAATTTCAGGAACCAAAAAAACATCATGAATGAACTTTGTGCCCATACAGCTTGTGATTGCAATTGTCCCTATTCCTTTGACTGAGATATGATCAACATTACTTATTCTGACTTTAGTGATATTAGTTGGCCTCAAATATCTGAAAAGAGCCTTGTTAAAGGTCATGTGATTGGTACAATTGCTATCTATCAGCCATCTTTCAATCGATTCACTACTCAAGAAACAAGTAGCTACAAATAGCTGGTCCTCCTCTTCCTGATCAACAGCCTTAGCTTCTTCCTCTTGCTGTTGATTTTTGCTTTTGCATATGATTGCTTCATGTCCCATTTGATTGCACTTGTTGCATTTAACATCAGGTCTTTGCCAACATCTGAATGGAGGGTGACCCATTTTGTCACAATGCTGACAAGGTGGGTAACTTTTCTTTCCACCTTTTCCTTTATCGTAATTATTTGTATTGATCTAACTACTAGTTGGATGATTCTTATTGTAGTTTTTGGCTTGTTGGCTTTTGACTAGAAGAGCGCCTTCAACAACATGATCTTCCCTGATCAAATTTCATTGCTCATGGGCTTGGAAGGCATGTAGCACTTCTTCAAATGTGATTTTAGACAAATCCCTTGTGTTCTCCAACGAAGAAATAAATGCTTCATACTTTTCTGGCACTGTTACCAGAATGTTCTCAACAATTCTAGAATCAGGAAAATTACTGCTCAACAACCTTATCTTGTTGGCAATACCCAACAATTTGTCTGAGTATTCTTTGATTTTTTCAGATTCTTTCATCCTTTGCAACTCAAATTCCCTCATTAAATTAAGCACCTGCATGCTTCTTATTCTTTCATCTCCTGCGTACTCTTCCTTTAGATAATCCCAATTTTTTTTGGCTGATTTAAGAGTCATAATTCTTGTGAAGAGGATTTAAGAAACACCAACAAATAGACATATTTTTGCCTTTGCTTTTCTAGTTTTTCTCTCCTTGTGAATTTTGATCTGGGCCATGATAGGATTATCCGGCACCGAAAGAACTTCATAATTTGTTTCTGCAACATCCCAAAGATCTAAAGCCTCCATTTTGACAGCCTAAAGATCGTAGTTTTCTCCATCAAAGACTGGAGGTGCAACTTGTGAGAAATTTGATTCGGCATCCATTTTCACATGTCCGTAAGAAAAGGGCTTTGCTACCAATTGTTGGTTTAAAAATAAGAATAACAGCAAAAACAGAGAGAATAAAATACTGGAAAAGGAAAAATATATAAATTGGAATGAAAAATGGGTGAGAATACCTTTATTCGACTGTCAATTGCAATACACTAACAAAAAAAACTGACTAAGATAAAACAAAAATGTTTTCTCCTAAAGTTTAGGAACAAGAAAAAACTTATTCAATCAAAAAAACAGTAAAGATAAACTAAATAAAGAGGTCACGTGCAGTTAAAAAACAAATATCTAACAATTCTAAATGAGAAATGAACACGACCATACCAATATTCACTTTGACGTTAACTCTTGCGTTACATATCTTAGAAAAGCTTTCCAACATGCATAGTGACCTCGATCTTAATCTCCAACAAACCCCACCACATCCAATAGCGAAAGAGTGGCACCACCGTGCGTTTACTGAAACAAAATCCAAATGGATCGAAAGAGAATCACGACACCATCAATCAAAACAAAATTCAACAAAAAATTAAAACCAGAAAAAAGAATGAAAGGACAAAGGAAGACATATGTTCGCATTACTCATTAGATTTACTTTAGATCAATTATAAATAAAGAAGAGAGAAGAGGATTTAAGGTTTATTGTATTGGAATTTTGGGATAGGAAAAGGGTTTATGAGTTTCATATTTTGATATTAGAAAAAAGTTGATGATTTTGGTTCAAATTTGTTTGGATATGTACATAATTCAAATGAAAAAATTGGATTTTCCAGATTTAAAAATTCACATAAATAAACTAGAATGTGGTTTAGAAAAATTATGAAATATAAATCAAATCTAAAAAACAAATTAAAAAAAATGAATTTTTAGCCGGTAAGCAAAACCGGGTCAGATAAAGCAAAACAGAACTTTTTGCCCATTCTTGGAGGTGTGGGATGGCCTGTAACTATATTACACACTCATCAAACACTCTCAGATTCGCATTTCTTCCTTCCCTGACACCAACCTTCATCCACCATCAACGTACATTTTCTTCTCTCGCCCCCTCACGTTCAAAGGGCTAAGCGTCAATCCCAAGAGCTTTCCCGCCCCGCTTAAAGCGTCGATGACGGAGACCAACAGCGTTGCCGTCGAGGTCTTCGAAAAAGAGGATATTGCCGACTCTCTGGCCAAATACGTCGCCGATCTCTCCAATAAATTCACTTTGGAAAGGAGGACTTTCACATTTTGCTTGTCTGGTGGCTCTTTGATCAAGTATTATCTTTTATATAAAAATGTTCTCACTTTGAGCCTAAGCGTGATTTGATTGAATTGGATTGGATTAATGTGAATGTGTTTTGTCTTGGGTTCTCACGAAACTGCTGGAACCGCTCTATGTTGATTCTCTTGAATGGTCCAAATGGCAAGTGTTTTGGATGGATGATAGTTACTACTATCTTGCTTTGGATGGACTTCTCTCCAAGGTATATTTTTACTTGTGTTTTTTATGTTGGAAAATGGTTTGTTTAGGATGAACATGCACTGTTTGTTTAGGTTGAGCATCCATTGTTTGTTTATGTTGAGCATGTTCTCAAATTGTTGAGAATGTTTTATGTTTGTTAGGTGTTGGTGTTAATGTTGAGAAAAAAAAAATGATAAAAGGAGACTGATTCAGGGTTTTGCGTCTCTTTAAGTTGAATACCGATACAATCCACGTGTGTGGATCATGGTAGTTGAATAGCGATATAATCATAGAGCTTATAATTGAATCGCCATGATGAATATTTTCATATCGTGAACCGTAAGATTGATAAACCTTTAGAAAATGTAACATATACTTAAATATAAGACATAAACATGCAAAGATAGAGTTAATAACAACTACAGTAAAAAATAGTGGTTGTGTCTATGTAGATATATTGCACTGCGGCAACATGTGTTGTTGAGGAGTAGAGGGGAACATTTAAGGAACCACCAGCCTGGGTGACGGGTGTAGAAGGAGAAGAGAGATTGTGGCTGAGCCTAGAAGTGAAGAAAAGGCAAAATAAAGACATTAGAGCTATGTAGAGGTAGAATTTGCTTTCAAAGAAGATTGTATTGCTGCTAAAGGAAACCATCCATGGCAATCAAAGAAATAGCGCGAACTGGTTGGAGGGAAAAGCACAAACTGGTATGCATCTCTTCCTGCTTAGTTCAAGCAATAACAAAAAGCAGATTAGGGTTTTTTCAAACCGGGTCACTCTTGACCTGTTTTTAATGAATCCTTTTTGTTGGTTGCTGCAAAATAGGGTGTTATTTTGACATGTTTATTGACTGTTATATCTCATTCCTATATAATGATGCAAGGGAGGGAAAAAACCACCTTCAGTTTGAAGTTATGAGCCATATTTTTTCTGTGTAGTCTTCTCTAAGATGGCTGCGTGACCAGATAATGTTGTCTGGCTTCCTAGATTTCCATCAGCATAATTTTTGTCAATCTAACCTGTTACTACTTCCATCTTGGTTCCCGCAGCAGCTACCAATTCCTCTGGGCAAAATGTGTATGCAATCAATGATACCCGTTCAGCTGAGAGAGTCAGATGATTATGAGACACGTCTCAGACAATTGGTCAATAACAGTGTGATTACTTCATCACCGACGAGTGAATTTTCAAAAATTTGATCTTGTGCTGCTGGGCATGGGCCCTCCACGTAGCTTCTTTGTTCTCAGGGCATCCTCTTGTGCAGGAGAATACAAGATGGGTTGCCTTCATCAAGGACTCCCCCAAACCACCCCGAGAGAGAATAACTTTCACCTTTCCAGTGATTAATGCCTCTGTTTACGTAGCCCTTTTGGTCTCGGCTATGGTAAAGCAGATGCATTTCACTCTGTATTAGGCAAATATCCAAATTCTGTAAAGCTTCCTGCTGCATTGGTTTTCCCTGAAGGGGAGTTGAAATGGTTCTTAGACAAAGATGCGGCCTCAAAGCTGTAGATGCCGCAATTCAGCCAGTTGTTTTACCTTCACAATGTTGAGTTTGTGAATGAGAACTGTTGAATTTTCTATTCACAGTGACAGTTAGCATTGGACACGGTCCTTTGTTATTTGTGACAATAAAGAGGATATTACTTTATGTTGATTCAAAATATCTCGTTTATTATCCTTCTCAAATTTCCAATTAATAACACCAACCCCACCCTCTCAACTGACGGGTTCATTCTTTTTAAATGCCACTTTTCTGTGTTATCGTTGAAATGAATCAAATAATCACTTCACGTTGCCGTTAATCTGGAAGAGTAGTATATTTTTATGTACCTTTTCACTCCCTGAATTTCTTACTTGATGACTTCCTATATTTCTTTAATCTAAAATTCAAATACAAGCAATAGTAATGAGAGTATCCTCGTGGCTTAATTTTCAGAGGTAGTCTTAAATCACCGTGGTCATGTAGGAAAAGGAAACGTGTAATTTCACCTCAGCAATGGAAAAGCTTATTTACCAAAGATGGTGGAATTAAGTTCCTGAAAAGAATTCGCAGTGGAGTGAGTTCACTAATCTGATTGTTTACATTTTAAATTCTTTGGTTTGGCTGTTTCTCCTTGAACTTGATTACGTATAAATATCTGATGCGTAGGGTGTTGGTCCTACTATTAGAGCTGAAGTTTGGCCTTTCCTACTCGGAGTGTAAGCATCCTATCTTTTATGCTTGATTTCTAGATAATGCGTATCGATTATTTTTCTTACATATTTGGGATCTTGGAAATTTGGATCACTTAATGGCATGAGATACAAAATGGACCTGCTGTTACACATGTGATTTGAAGTATCTTGCTCCTGGCTACATTTTTACCGTAATGCAGCTTGGTTGTGAAGAACCTTGATTATCTCTTGTTTATCGTAGCACAAACTATATTATTTCTTCATCTTATGCAGTATTTAAAACTTTATTTTTGTGTGTACTTCAATCATCTGTTTTTTCAGTTTAATTATAATTCTTTAAATGCAGAAAGGAGTATGAGAAATTCGAAGACAGTGCTGGCAACTGTCAAAGCACAGTAATGGGAGCTTTAAGTTAAATGAAACAGGTGAAATCAGCTATGAAGGGGATGGTGGAAGTCTTATTCAAGATTAGGTTCACCTAGTTCTGAAGATGCAACAAGTGCCAGAGAATCTCTTTCAAGTGAGGAACACAGTCCAGATGCTGAATATTCAGATGATCCATCTATTGCCCTGTTGTAAGGAGATCTCCAAACGTCAGCAATGCTAGTACCTCTGCACTGGATACTGATTCTACTGATTCAGACTCCTCATAAGGTCCTGAGATAATTCAGACATTTTCTTCTGATGATGGTCAGCAACTTTGTAGGCATTTGCAGAAGATGCGGGCCGAGGATTGCTTATTTGTGTATAGGATATTGGTGGTATTGTTTAGAAGGGAGTTGACATTTGAGCAGATTCTTTGCCATTGGGAAGTAACGTGGGCAGACCAGGCAGCAATTCTGATTTGGGACACAACTGGGACCACATTTGCGAAAGGATTATGATATGATAATATTTTTTTGGTTTAAATACTTATTTCGTTCTCATGTTAAGAGGTGAATTTTTGTTTTGTATCCGGTTTTAAAAATGAAGACATTAAGTCCTTATGTTATGAAAATTGTATGACTAAGGTCCTATCTGATAAATTCAGAGTAATAGCGTTAATTTCATGGAGATGTGGCATAATTTTTATCTTCTCTCTCCTCTGCTGCAGCTTTTTCTCTCTCCTGGCCAGCTTTTTATCTTCTCTCACCTCTATGTATTCTTTTTATTTTTTGGATTCTTAACAAATTGGTTCTACTCGCCAAATCAAGATGGGGTGGAAGCATGGAAGGGAGAGTCGGTACCAACGAACGGGGTAGAGTCATAGTTAAATTAAGGAAAAGTTTCCAAGAATTGAAAGAAATGATACAGGAATACCAAAATCAAGAAAGGGACTCAAAAGGAAGTGAGAAATCTATCATGAAAGAAAGAGGGAAAAACGGGTATGGATGCTAAGAAAGATGAAAGAAAGAGGGAAAAACGGGTATGGATGCTAAGAAAGATAGTTTGTGAAACATCAATAAAGGCAAGAAATTTTTTGAAGGAGAATTTCAAGAGTCAGTCAAAATCCAGAAATGGAAATGTAACAAGATTTCAAGAATTAGTCAAAATCTAATAATGATCAAGAGTTATAAAATCAATTTCATCAAGCAAGAAGAAAACAGAACGTAAAGATGTGCAAGAACTAAAATCCAAAACAAAAACAACTTGAAATCATACAAGAACAGTAAAGAATGCATGATGAGTAAATTGGATTAGGAAAGAATTGGAGGAACAACTTGTATTGAAACTGGGAAAATTTACAACGAGACTATATTAAACAGAGGGATTTACAATTTTGTAAAACAATGACAATGCTTCTAGGATCTTCAAGTCTACAAATTTTAACTTATCACCATATATTTATCTAGATTAAAACCAACTATCTCAGCCTCCTTGCAGATCTCTATGCACTTCGCAGTCCTCCCAGAGGCCATGTAAATTTGAAGCATGTCCTTGTATACGCTAAAAGTGGGAGAAAATCCAGCCTCTTTAGGCCTTGTTCACTTGAGTGGATTTGAGGAAGAGTAATTGAGGGGATTTGAGAGGATTTGAAAATAAATTTTTTTGTTGTTTATTTGAATCAATTTGGAGGTAAGTGAGAATGAATTTGGAAGTAAAGTTTGCGAGAATTAGTGTAGGATTTGATTGACGTGACAGATTAAAAAAATTTACTTCCAAATCTAATCTCATTTACCTCCAAATTCACTCAAATAATCAACAAAAAAAATTATTTTCAAATCCTCTCAAATCCCCTCAATTACTCTCCCTCAAATCCACTCAAGTGAACAAGGCCTAAGTTTTGAAAAATATCTCATGGCCCTAGATAGATCATTCAGAGCAACAAACAGTTTTATTATCGCACGATAAACAAGAAGGTTAAAAAGGCAATTAGAAGACTCCATCTCCCAAACTACAACCAATGCCTCTCTGTATTTCTTCTCTGTGTAACGGCTGTGAATAACAGAAGTGAACATAACTATGCTTGGTTGATAGCTAGACTGCTTGAACCAACTAAACAGGCTCTCAACTTATTTCCCCATCTTAACACATACTTTCATTATAGCAATACAATCTTGCTAGCTTAAATTCAATTCTTCTTGTTCTCCAAGTTCATCCAACAAGGGCAACACATGCTTGTGTTTGTCTGGAGGTGAGAGAAGATAAAAAGCTGATCAGGAGAGAGAAAAAGCTCCAGCAAAGGAGAGAGAAGATAAAAGTTATACCACATCACCATCAAATTAATAATGTTACTCTGAACTTAACGGAAAGGACCTTAGTCATACAATCTTCATAACAAAAGGACTTAATGTCTTTATTTTTAAAACTGGGTACAAAACAAAATTTCACCTCTTAACATGAGAACGAAATAAGTATTTAAACCTAATTTTTTTTAACAGTGTCATTATTTTATTGATGTGTATATCTAAAATAAACTAATCACAAACTATCAAATAGTTTATTGTAAAAAAGTTGTCAAAAAAAATTTGTTAAAAAAACATTTTTTATTTGTGATTGGTGCCTGATTGAAGAGGCTGCGATATTGTCGACAAGTATGATTGTTGGCTTTTTTGACTGAACATGAACTCATGTGTCTTCTATGGAATTGGGTAATATCTATTGCATATTGAGAAATAAACAAATAAATATATTATATTTACGATTATATAATAATATATTTTTGTCTGAAAAACACATTTTATTTACATAAGAATTTTTTGTCACGTTTCATTTGGCAGACTTGTTAACTAGTTTTACCAAACACTTTAACTAATAAATTAGGTAATAAATTCGGAACTGAGTTAAAAATTTATTAGCTAATTATTAGTTTACTAATTAGTTTCGTTATAGAGACTTTAATCTTAAATAAAAACATGAAAATAATCATTTTCAAACACGTGAAAGTATTATCAAAGTGAGAGTCTTATGAAATATTTATCTAAATACAATTAACTCGAGATATTAAACAGAAATGTGAACTAGTTCTACACCCTTAGTTTGACTATACTTTTCAACTTTTCATATTACACAAATGTTTTTGTTCATCTTGTATTTTAAAGCTTTGCAAAAAAGTTATAATAAGTATAAGAAATTTCAAACGCTTTCTTAGGTGCACCTTCGTTTATTTTAAATGGGTCTATAATTCAACATCCAAGGTTTGTACATCTCACTATATAAAACATAGAGCAAGTGATCAATGAACCTCCATTCTTCAATAAAATAGATCACGACTATTGAAAACTAAAGAATGATAAGTTATTTGATGTATCATGCAAAATTTTAACTTAATTTTAAAGGCAAAATCAGAGGAAAAACATCTAGATCAACACATGAGAAGACTAATAGACGATATGTCAACTAAACACTAAAGCTAAACCATTTCTCATTTTGTTATTACAAAATTTGATTTTAAAAAAATTCACACTTCCAACAAATCTGAATGGATTTAGGTTTAAAAAAATAGCACACTTACAATACATCTGAATGGATTTAGGATACCACAGCTCTTGCTTATGAACGAACCTCCCATGTCAAGGACTATAAAACCAATATGTTTGCTGACCAAAATGAATTTTTTGAAACAGCTTGGAAAGAGACTATTAGTTAAATATTTGGACATTTTCAAGTCATAAAAGTAAGCTAAGGTTGCTTGACAATACAATCAACATTTTGACCAAGACAATGGAAATCACAAGTAATAACCATACAAGACTCCAAAGACATTGCTTATGGAAAAGCTCATTAGTACGCAGAAGATTCATGAATGATAAAGGGTGGAGAAAAGGAACATTCACATACCTCAAAGGTCAAAAGGAATCTTTTTCCAAAGCTTGAGGGGGATGTTTGGACATTTTGACCTACCACGTCCAAACTTTTATTACTTACAATAAACTTCGTTGATGCAATTCTTCCATATAAATCCACCTTTCCTCTTTCACACAATGTAAATCAAAGTGAACAGCAATGCAATTTGTTAAATGGAAAGAAAGGGAACATCGTAATAAATAGCACAAACCGAAAGATATGGTATAGCATATGCTATGATCGTGTCAGGATAATCTTTCTACAGGCTGTGCCACCACATTATTGTATCTTCTCAGATTTTCATATCAAACTGGCTCACCCTTTATTGTTTTTTCCAAATCAAGGAAAAAGTTAACCAATAATCGTTTCAATTGTTGTTTCATTTTTCTCCTTCTCAAAACCTGTTAATTTGAGACGTGAGCGACATCATCTCACCTTGATGCATGCTTAATGATAAATTTTTGGTCAGATTCTTAAACGTGACATCTATTATTTAATAGATCAACTCACTTTATTACATCTTTAATGATGAATTTTCAATCAAAATCTTAACTCTCAACGTTTCCAAAATCACAAAAAAATATTTAAAGTTCTTTCCTAATACGAAAAAAATTCACCATGAAATCTTGAATGAGATCTTTAATAAATTACACAAGATCTGAATAAAATCACAAAGAATCTTATATCTTATTTAAGACTAACAGGCATTAGGAGGTTGACTTCGTCTGTCGCTCAAGCACGCGAGGATCCTTAAATTGTGGCATTGAGCGGCCTGGAAAAGAGCTAATCGCTACTACAACCGTGCACATGCATGTTCATAATTAATGACACGTTGATAATAAATAAAGAAATTCTGACATAAACATTAAAAATGCAGCGATCCTAAATAAAAAGAAAGAAAACCAACTTAGCCCCGTCCAAACATTAAGTTCTCAATTCATAAATGACACTAATAGCAATGACAAAGAAAGTTGGAAAACATTGGGTTACTCAACAATAGTTCGATCCAGAAACTAAACACTGTTCTTCAAATGACACTATAAAGCTAACAGACCCTTCGGCGGGGTCAAATTTGATATAGAAGGAATTACTCTTTCTTGGTGTAGTGCCGGACAACAAAGGCCAAGCCCAATATCAGGAGAGGGACCAGGAATTGCAAGATCTTGATCAGAACATCCGAAGTCTTATCAGAACTGTACAGAACTTGCTGAGGTGGAGCGTAGGTCCGCTTCAGGGGAACACTTGATGAATCAATCTCACCAATGTAGTATTTTGCCATCATATCTCTTGCACTATCACTGTGCCCCACGTCTTCAAAATCATT